TTCAAATGTATGGAAAAGTTAGCTGCTCTTTTTGGGATCTTAAAATAGTGTGACAGCATGACAGAAAGTTAAGTCTACCCATTGTTCCATTGCCCTTTGCATATATCTCTCTGTGATGTTGTGTTTTATCTTTTATTATTAGAAATGTTTATGTTTCTCTCCAGTGTGTTTTGAGAGAATAGGGATCATATCTTGTTGATCCTTATGTGCTCTCAAATGAGATTCCACCCCCCCAAAAAAAAAAAAGCCCCACACAGGGACTTTTTTGGGTTTTTTTGTCTTATTCACTATAATGTTCCCAGTGCCTAGAATAGTGCCTTGGTACAAAGCAGGGACTCGGTAACTACTTGTCAAATGTATTATTGCATTGATTCCTTTATGGCTGAATGTTGGTTAATGTGGGTGACAGTCACAGTATTATAGAGCATTCTTACATTCAAATACTCACTGCTGCTGGGTGTGGTGGCTCACACCTGTAATCCTAGCACTTTGGGAGGCTGAGGCAAGAGGAGTGTTTGAGCCTAGGAATTTGACAACAACCTAGGCAACAAAGCGAGACCTCATCTCTACAAAAACAATCAGCCAGGTGTAGTAGAGTACACCTGTAGTTCCAAGTACTCAGAAGACTAAGGCAGAAGGATTGCTTAAGTCCAGGAGGTCAAGACTATGGTGAGCCATCATTGTGCCACTGCAGTCCAGACTGGGCAACAGAGTGAGACCTCTAACTTAAAAAAAAAATTTACTGTTCAGTACTTGCAATTTTGAGACTGTAAAAATAGCCATGATATACTATACAACCTGACAAATTTAGCATTTATAAAATGAGTTTTCACTCAAACATACCTCCCTGTTAGCTGCTGTGTCTATTTCTGCCTACTCTGCCCATGTGCTTTTAGGTCAGATATCCAACAATAAAGTTCAAAGTGAAATTGCAAACCTTGCATAAGCTGCAGGATTTTATAATGTTGTCAAAAGTGATATCGGAAGAACACCAGAAGTGGTAATTACGTGAATAACTAGAAATAGCTTTTTTCTTATTATTTAAATCTCTTTAAAAGATAATTGCTTGCTTATGCAAAAAGTATAACAGTGTATGTAGGGTTTATAACATTTGTAGAAATAAAATGGAGGCCAGCAATAGCATAAAGGCTGGGAAGGAAGAAATGGAAGTATGTTGCTGTAAAGTTCTTATACTATTTGTAAAGTGATATACAATATCACTTGAAGGTAGACTATGGTAAATTAAAGAGGTATGTAAAAATCCTAAAGCAACCTCTAAAATAACAGAGCAAAGATTCTGGGCTGATAAGCCAACAAAGGAATTAAAATGGAACAAACAGGCTGGGCTCAGTGGCTCAGCCTGTAATCCCAACACTTTGGGAGTCTGAGGCGAGTGGATTGCCTGAGCTTGTGGGTTCAAGACCAGCCCAGGCAACTTGGCGGTACCTCATCTCTACAATAAATAAAAAATTAACCTGCATGGTAGCACGTGCCTGTAGTTCCAGCTACTTGGAAGACTGAGGCAGAAGGATCGCCAGAGCCCAGCAGGTTGACGCTGGGGTGACAGTGAGTGTGCCACTGCACTCCAGCCTGGGCGACGGAGTGAGACTCCAACTTGGGGGAAAAAAAAAAAAGAACAAACATATATTCAGTTATCCCAAATATTCAAACCAAAAGAAAAAAGGCAAAAAAAAAAAAAAAAAAGAGCAAAGAACAGATGGGATAAGTAGAAAACAAACAACAAAATGGTAGGTTAAACCCAGACTTATCAATAATCACATTAAATATAAGTAATCTAAACACCGCAATTAAAAGCAAGACCAGCTGGTCACAGTGGTTGATGTCTGTAATCCTGGCATCTTGGGAGGTTGAGGCACTTTGAGAGCATTACTTGAGGCCAGGAGTTCAAAACCAACCTGGGCAACATAGCAAGACCCTGTCTCTGAAAAAAATTGAAAAATTAGGCAGGCCTGGTGGTGCATGTCTGTAGTTGTATCTGCTCTGGGGGCTAAGACAGGAGGATTGCTTGAATGCCAGACATTCAAGGCTATAGTAAGCTGTGATTGTAATACTGCACATTAGCTTGGGCAGCAGAGGGAAACACTGTCTCTAAAGAAAAAAAGAAAAGCAAGACCAGCTGTATGTTGTCTACAAAAAACCTACTTTAAATATACAAAGTCACAAGGCAAAGTGAAAAGATGGAAAAAGGTCTGCATGCTAAAAACACTAATCAAAAGAAGGCTGGAGTGCACTGTGTCACTATCAGACAAAGTGAATTCCAGAACAAAGATTATAATAACCAGGAATACAGAGGGACACTGATTATGATAAAGGATCAATACTGTGTCAGGAGGACATAGCAGTTCTAAATGTTTATGCACCTGAAAGTGATGTTGAAGGACCATACACGTGATACCGGCACCATTGACAAGTGAGTATCTGGTCATGTGAGACACTTTATAATTGCAGTAGAGGAAACTGAAAAAGGTGATGACACAATAGGTATTTAGAAGAGAAAGACATTAAATTGATGGAGACCTAGAATATTTTTTTTCCAAAAATCCTTCTTAGGCTAGCTCTGTGTAACCCAACCTTGTGATGAAGGGTGTTTTATTGTTCTATTGGAAAAATGGTGCCAGCAAAACCAATACTTGATTAATAATGAAAAATGTGTTTATAGATACACTCCATGTGTGCTTAGAGTGAGCTGTGGTTGAATAGCTTCCACGCTTGGCAGCACACAGGATGAGTTTGGTACTCACCAAGCTCACAGTTATTTTATGCACTTGCAGTTGCAGCCGCTCATCCTGCACTTTTCTCATCACATACCAAGTGACTTTGGACCAAGTTGTTTAACCACTCGGTGCTGCTGTTTCATCTCTTCTGTGAGAGGAGTGCAATGATGTTCCTCCCAGGATGGAAGTGTCCTCCTCAGGAAACAAGTGAAAGTGTCTGAATGTGGAAAGGTTCTGTGTAATAGCAGCTTTTACTTCTCTTTACTTTTGTTGTGATGTCTCAAAATGGATGCAAACAAATGCAAGAGGCCTGGGTGAAGACCTTGGGATGGGAGAACCTAGCTCCTATTTAATGTGTAGAACCACTGGCATTTTCTGCAGCATATTTTTCTCTTCTGAGTCAAAATGGAAAGAATTTGCTAAAATATTTGCCAGGGGAATGTGTGTAGAGCCTTTTGTGATCTGCTTATCCCCAACGTTTATCATAATTCTTAGAAGAGTACCTTGTGTTTTAGATTTGAAGCAACATTTAACTTGAAGAAGGTGCTGCTTTGGTTTGTAATCACTTAGCCTACTGACAGTTTGAAAGTCTTGCGATGCAGCCCGAATATATTATTTTGTTACAATTCTCTATATTTAATGCTGAGTGATACTATATAGTAGATCCTAAATTCAAAGCATTTGCAGTTTAAAGACAAAGTAGAAGACAAGAAGAAAGAAAGATAAGAAGATGAATTGCAAAGAAAAGAAAGTGAAAAGCTTTGTCTGTTCTAGGTAATAGGAAGTTATAGGAAATAGAACTGGATTTATGGATAAGTAATAGAGAAGAAATTAGCACTGGTAGATTAAATATGCTTTGTAACATGGCAGGTACTGTAGATACAGAAAAATACAAGGTAAAAACCAGTGGCTGGTAGTCAGCATTTTGTGTGAGTCGTCTACTGTCTTGTGCCCACACAGCCCTGTAAAGTAGGTAATGTCTTTGGCCTTACACATGAGGAACCAGGCTTACAGGTGTGAAGTAATTCCCCTGAGATCTTCAAATGGCAAGAAGTGCAGCTGGATTTGAACTCAAATAGCCACAGACTGTGTTATCTCCACACAATTATGGAACGGGGCATTATCCAAACTAATGCAGAAAATAATTATTTTCTTGGGTAAATTTTTGAGAGGAAAAAAGTAGCTTAGTGGATGGGAATGATTAAAAAAAAGACATCATTGAGTGGGCATGGTGGCTCATGTCTATAATCCCAACATTTTGGGAGACAGAGGTGGGAGGGATCACTTGAGCCCAAATGTTGGAGACCATCCTAGGCAACATAGCAAGAGAATCTGTCTCTACAAAAAATCAAAAAATTAGCTGAAAAGCTACTTGGGAGGATGAAACAGGAGAATCACTTGAGCCCAGGAGTTGGAGGCTACAATGACCCATGATATGCTGCTGCACTCCAGCCTGGGTGAAAGACTGAGACCCCAACTCAAAAATAAATAAATAAATAACAAGAAAAGAAAGAAATTATTGGTGAGGAAAGAAGAATCAATGGCATTCCAAATACAGAAAAGTTTATACTTCTGGTAGAACAGCGTAAGCTCTTGTAGACTACTGCTTCTCAAACTTGACAGTGACAGTTTGCATTTCTACCTGGCGATGCTAATACTGTTGATCCAGGGACCAGCTTGGAGATCACTGTTGTGGGCAATTCAAGAAAGTTGGTGACATGGCCAGTGTGTGTTAGAGGCATTGATCTGGGTAGCAGTATCCAAAGTACTGAGGAGAAGGATATGTAGTGAACTCAGCACTTTTGACAAACATGGGATATTGAGGCTCATGCTTTAGAGCTGTGCAGAATAAAACATCGCTGCTAACAGAGTCCATAAAGGAGAGATGATGAGGAAGGATGTAAAATACACATTGTGCACCCCTAATCCCCAAATCCCATATCCAAAATGTTTCAAAATTCAATACTTTTTGAGCACTAACAGGATGCCACAAGTGAAAAATTTTACACCTGACCTCATGTGATGACTCACAGTCAAAATGCAGTTAAAACTTTGCTTCATGCACTAAATTACTTAAAATAAAATGACCTTCAGTCTATGTTTATCAGGTATATATGAAACATAGATGACTTTCATATATAGACTTGAGTCTCATTCCCAAGGTATCTCATTTTAAAATTGTCTTTATGTCACATGATTGTTTTTTGTAACTGTTCATGTTAAGTAAATTAAAAATGGTTACTTGCATTGCTTTTTCTTGCTTAGGGTTTCTTAATATTTGGAATCTAAGGACTGGAAAGTATCCTGTTCATCGTTTTGAGCACGATGCAAGAATACAGGCACTAGCCCTCAGCCAGGAGGATGCAACCGTTGCCACAGCTTCTGCTTTTGATGTCGTAATGTTGTACTCCAATGATGAGGGAGACCAGCAGATAGTTGCAGAATTTGAAGTTCAGAAACTGGTGAGCGTTTTGGTCTGGTCATTTTATTTTCTGTTCTTAGGATCTCTGGGTCTAATGCAAGCAAATACCAAAAATGTTCGCAGCTCCTATTCCCTCAGAGCTTCTGTAGGTCTTACATCCATTAACTACAGCCTTAAAAATAGATGGGATTATTTTCCCTACTTGCCAAGAAGACGGTAGAGGCTTAGAGCAGTGAACTGATGTGCCTGAAGCCTTGTGGCTGAGAAGTTGTGATTTAAATCTGGGGGCTGACTTCAGAGCCAGAGCTACTTGTCATGGTGGTTCCACAGCCTTCTTCAGACTGACATGGTAGACTACCACCCCTGGAAATCTAGGATCAGTTTGTGGCCTTCTAGATATATAAGTGAGAATGAGTTCAGTGGTGTTAATCTCAGCCCATGTGGGATGGAGATTTCTTTCCTGTACTTTCTTTATCTCAAGATTGTCTCACCTGAATTAAAAGTAACTCCTGAGTGAAAATAGGCTTAAGTCAGTGTTAATCGGGTGACCGTGATCGAGGATGTCTTGTGTGAAGCTGAGCCAGCCTTGAGAATTCTTTACATTGAGCTCATTTTTTAGTTCAGTTGTATGTGAGCATCTATGTTTATGTGGCACTAAGGAGGAAGTACTCAAGTCTGTTGATGCCGAGTTTGGATTTAATTTAAACAAACTTGGTTTTGGCACTGGTGAAAGAATGAATAGAAACCCAACATTGAGTGATGAGTTGATGGCCCAACTTGGAATCTCTCCTATTCTCCTCTTTTTCCTCCCTTGTGGAAATCTTCTTAGACTAGAATAATTTACAGAGCCATGGCATTACCCCCATGAACCTCTGCACTTTGGAGGCATTCTGAAGTAGTTTATAGCCCCTAGCAAATAGCACAGCCACTGTCATTCTGAGCCTCTTGGTCTGTTAGGAGTTCAACATTAAGATGAAGTTAAGGCTGGGCTCAGTGGCTCAGCCTGTAATCCCAGCACTTTGGGAGACTGAGGTGAGTGGATTGCCTGAGCCCACGAGTTCAAGACCAGCCAGGGCAACTTGGTGAGACCTCGTCTCTACACTAATTTAAAAAAATTAACCAGGTAGCCAGGTAGTAATTCTGGCTACTTGGAAGGCTGAGGCGGAAGGATCACCTGAGCCCAGCAGGTCAGTGCCGGGGTGGCCGTGAGTGTGCCACTGCACTCCAACCTGGGCAACGGAGTAAGATGCCAACTCAAAAATAAAAAAGAAGAAGAAGAAGTTAAAGGGCTAGACTGAGGCTGTCAGTTTCAGGAAAATAAGAATGACTTTTGGGAGCAAGAGGGAGCAAGCAGCCATTTCTCGAGGCATGTTTTATAACACTTTTTATGAATTATCTCTCACCTTGCGTGAGGGGTTGCCACTGACCACACTGAGTATCCCTGGAAAAGGCACCACCTGGCCTGCAGAGCTGGCTATTCTTGTCTTGCTCATATTTGCTCCCTGAGTAGCAACGGCGATATTCTCAGGTTTGTGACTTAGCCGAGAGTGGCTGTCCTTTGTGATGGGCCCGAGACTGGGAATGTGGGACCCAGGATTAGCAGAGTCACCCAGATGTAGACACACTCTCAAGCTCCTCTGGGCAGTCTTCAGGAGTCAGGCATTTGAACTTGCTTGGCATATTGTCAGGGCAGTGCTATCTTTTCTCATTGTCAGTTTTCATAATTACACAGTGTGACTCACCTTTTGCATTTGTGCTCTCTTGATTTACTCAAGGAGGTGGAAACCTGATGTAACCTGCACCAGGAGAGATGTGCCACTTGTAGATATTCCCGTGCAAATGAGAAAAAGTGCTGGCAATGATGCACTCAGGAGTACTGTGGGGTATAAAAAATGCTTGTTTATTTATTTTATTTTATTCTTTTTTATTTTTATTTTTTTTTGAGTTGGAGTCTCACTCTGTCACCCAGACTGGAGTGCAGTGGCCACTCCCCGCCACTGCAGCCTCAACCTGCTGGGTTCCGGCGATCCTTCCGCCTCAGTCTTCCGAGTAGCCGGAACTACAGGCGCGCACTACCACACCCGGCTAATTTTTTTGATTTATTGTAGAGATGAGATCTCGCCAAGTTGCCCGAACCCACGGGCTCAGGCAGTCCACTCACCTCAGCCTCCCAAAGCGCAGGATTACAGGCTGAGCCACCGAGCCCAGCTAAAAAAATGCTTGTTTATAGTGGCCTTCCTACCCTTAAGTGGCTTCATGGACCCGCTGTGACATCACTGCACGATACTGAAACCAGGAGAGAGGGTATAACTCAGATATTTTTGACTTTTGGGCCACACATTTTTGGTATTTGCACAAATGTTCAAATATACTTTTTGCTAACGGAGCAAATTTTATCTATTCACTTTCTTATTTTTAAAAAAAAAACGTTTTATTTAAAAAATTTATTTATTTTGTTTTCAATTTTTGTGGAGACAGAGTCTCACTTTGTTGCCCATGTTGGTCTTGAACTCCTGACTTCAAGTAATCCTCCTGTGTTGGCCTCCTAAAGTATTGGGATTACAAGTGTGAACCACCGTGTCTGGCCCTTACTTTTATTTTTTGAATTCCTATTATGTCCTCATGGTGCAGAATTAAAAAGACATGTAAGATCTTTTCCCACGTAAGTGGAAAATCTCCCTTCCACCCCATCCCACAACCCACTTCCCGCCTTGAAGGCAGGCATTGTTAGAGTATTTCTGCAGGTACATTGTGCATTGTGTACTTCCTCTGCCCCCACCTTGTACACATGTCAGCACATGGGAATCCTGTTACTCATCTTGCTTCCTGCCTTTCCCCAAAACTCTTTTTTGGAGATTATTCCATTTGTACCAGTTTATAAAGATTGTCTTCATGTTTCCTTCTATGACTGCATGGTATTCCAGTGTATAGATGCACTGTAAATTATTTAATTAATCCTTTAGTAGTAGCTGGTTAGGTTTTTCCAGTTTTTAGCTATGACAGAATGGTACTACAGTGAATAACCTTGTACACAATCATTTTGCATTTGTATAAGTTTATTTGTAAGTAACTTCCTAGAAGGGCATGTGCTGGGTCAGAGTGCATGTGTGTTTGGCATTTTGATAAGAGTTACAAAATTTCCCTTGATAGAAGTTGGACGAGATAATGTTCCCACCAACATTGAGTGGGATATACAAGCATGGTTGTCCCCCCTTCACTTCCAGTTCAGTGTGTTATCAGACTTCTTCATCTTCACCAGATGATAGGTGAAAAAAATCACATCTCAATGAATTCCTACTGTGTATTTCTCTTTTTAGGAGTGTCTTGTGTTTCTCTTATGCTGAGCATCTTTTCATTTGTGTAAGAGCTGCTTGTGTTTCATGTCCTGTGAGCACTCCTTTTGCCTGTCTTTTTCTGTTGAATTGCTGGTCTTCTCATCGAAAAGGAGGAATTGCATAGTTTTGACCAAGTCAGGATGAATTTGTAGGACTAAACAACTCTTATCTTTTAACAGGTTGACTACCTTGAAATAGTTCCAGACACTGGAAGGTACCCTGTGGCAGTAGCCACTGCTGGGGATCTGGTGTACCTGCTCAAAGCTGAAGACTCTGCCAGAACCCTCCACTATGTCTACGGCCAGCCTGTCACGTGTCTAGATGTCTCAGCCAACCAGGTGGCTTTTGGTGTAAAGAGTCTGGGATGGGTGTACGAAGGAAACAAGGTACACAGACACCAAGATACACAGTTAGCAAAAAAGAACATAGGTTTATTTCTTAGAAGGCAATTGAAAACTTAAAGCTCTCTAATATTATTTTTTTTCAGATATATTAGGGCAGTATATCAGCATGGTAAAAAATCCAAACACCTCAAAATGATAGAAAATGAAAAGTAATTGTTTTTTTCTCCTCCCTTTTCCCAACCTCACTACACAGAAGAAACTGAACAGTTTTTAAGTGTCTATCTAGAAACTCTGAACACATATACAGGTTCATTTGTACACTAGAAACATTTTCTTGTAGAAATGGAGTTATAGTATACATACTGTCCTGTACCCAGTGTTTTTACTTGGTAAAAGTAAACTGTATGTCAGCATTGACCAGGTGCACTCCCCAGCCTCCAACAGGTACTTACAGCCCTAGCCTGGTTAGCCCTCCCCTCACTGGTGGGCCTTTAGGTGGCTTGTAGGCACTGCTAAAGTGCATATTGCAACTTTCACAAGTCCTTTTGTAGTACGTCTCTAGGATATTCCCTTGAGGGTTTGATAGACATTCCAAATTGCCCTCTAAGAAGGTGCATCAGAATTTGTGTTCTCACCCTGGTGCAGGGATGTGCCTTCTGATGCTTTTTGAGTCTGAAGCAGGGAGACAGGTTTTTAATGGACATTCTTTGATGACTAAGTGCCCTCCCTAGCATCTTACTATCCTGACTATAGGCCATGTACTTAGTATAAAGCTGATTTATGGAACCCTCTTTCTCTGCCAGTGGGATCAGGGCGAGAGAGATGATGGTTTTACTCTGTTTTGTGTTTCTTTCCATTTGCCTGCTTCTGACCCTGTTGGCAGTTGGTGGGATTACCAGGGATGAACATCTCTGAGTTAGTGGGCCCTGTGTGACCTTAGGCAGGTATCTTAACCTGCTTAATGCCTCAGTTTCCTTATTTGTAAGATGGAGTTCCTAATAGTACCTACTTCACAGAGTGTGGGATTAAATGAAAATAAGTGTGTAAAGCTTGATGCATAGTGCCTGGCACATGAGAGTTAATACCACTGTGTGCTTCATGTTATTTCTCCCACTCGTAGTTCAATTTCAACCTCTGGTGGTACCGATTTGTATATCTTATTTTCCCCATGTATTTGACCCGTAAGGTCAAATCTCAGTATGTAGGTGTCACTGGCTTTGCAACCTAATAAGTGGTCAAGAATTGAAGCATTCTGGATTCCTATGATACATTCTTTATCCAGGAAGGCTTATCGAGCAGTGGAAAACATGTGTGGCATGCTGACATCTCCCTGAGAGAAGGTGCTCCCTTTGTGCTCGAGTCAGCCCATTTTGTGGAGCATATCCATTGTGTCTTAGCTGGAAAGTCTGTCATAATAAAACTCCTGAGTTTTGTCTTCCCAGGAAGTGGAGAAAGAGGCAGGTATTGGTTTCCTAAGGCAGTTTCCTTTCTTGAGCTCTGAAATAACTTTTTTTTCCAATCCCTGGTGAGCTCATTTGTTGAGAGAGGAGAGACTGTTTGCTTTCTAATTTTTCATCTGGTATGCTTTCAAGTTTTAACTTTATTTTTAGAGCTTTCAGTTTAGTGAGGTGATAGTTATATTCAGTACTAGTCTGGTTTAAATTTTTCATATTTTTCAAAATTTTTTATCTGTCAGGTCCTCTTTCTCTTTGACTTAATCTGAATGGATTTATTCCTGTAGTGATACAGTTGTTGTGGATGTGTTTGAGAAACAAGTTAAAAGGATAGTTCAGCACAAAATTAGACTGGGAGAATCCTGTAGATACAGCCTTGTAAGTGGGCTTTTTATTATTATTATTATTTTGGTGGATTCTTCTCAAAATTTTCAACCCAACTAAAACCATTAATTATAAGAATCAGCTGATTAATGCATTAATTATATGAAAATTTTTGTTTAAAACTGTGTAGTCCTTTAAATGACTTGTGACCTGGCATTTGTGATTAGTGTTTTAAAATTAGGAGTGCAAATAAATTTGCTACAAGAATGTTTCGAAATGTCTTTGAAAGCCGACAGTAGCATCTAGTCATTCAAATATTTTGTGAGCACAGTCCAACCCTCCAAACAGTTGTGTGGGTGAATGGCTGGTTGTTGGTAATGCTGGTAATAACTTTGCATTGAGATGTTTCTCCAACACAAATGCCACCCCCTCAAAAGTCAGATGCATGCCATGCTTCATCTGTGTCGCTTTCCTTTTTTTTGCAGAGGTAAAACTTTCCATTTGATAATGCTTAAAGGATTTTTTGCTTCCTCAGAAAAATCTGCATTCTTTAAGAAACGTAATTGCTGTGTAACATTTCTGTGTGAGTTAAGCCATGTCATAGGTGGCTCCGTGAGATTTTAGTATCATCCTGCTGTGCCATAATATGATGTCATAATTCCCAAATAGTCTCATGTGCGAGGCTCATTGTCACTTTGCTCATGAATAAAGTGTTTTGGCCATACATGTGCTTTAGCCCGGTGGCAGCGTGTGTCCCAGCATGTTTTAATAGGTTAGTATGAGGCTGTTAGCCACGGAGTTTGCCTGAAGCTGTAATACACAGTAGAGCTTGTGTCTATGCCTCTGGCCTGTATATCCAGGATTTAGATGAAGGGTTGATGAGACCAGAGAGTTTGGTTTATCTTTGTTTTTACCTGATATGGAACTGGGGCTCAGCTATAGTCCATTATTGATTAACTGTGATAAAAATAGACAGTGGAGTGAAAATGTTGAAATCCAGTTTTAGCCAGGAATTTAAATCTCCCCAACCTATTGAAGTATTCCAGAGGTGTTATTTTTTGTTTAGTTGAAGAATATACTTGCACCATATAATGACCGCAGTAGCAATTTATGGGCACCTCAGCTGCACAAGCCTTAAGTAATAGTGGCTCAAATTCATCCATTCATATATCTAGCTTGCCCGATCATTGCTTGTTCATCACAAATTGTTCATGAGCACTGTTGTACTCCTGGCAGCAGCATGTTAAAGCAGCATTACACGCAGATTTCAGCAAACTGGTGCTTGTCAAGTAGCCTAGCTCTGTTAATAAATAGTTTTTTAAGGAGATAAAACCAAGTAATTTAGCAAAAGCTTGTCCATTTAATCTTTTTAGAAAGGCTTGTAAATATGGCTGGCTGATCAGTCCTCTCAGTTTGGGTAGAAGGATCAGAGAGAGTTGCGGTTCTGGAACATCATGGTTTGCCTGTGGTCTAGGAGCTCCCAGACTTGAATTTCAGAGATCAGAGTTAGGAGCTACATTTGCATTTGCCAGCCTTTTTTTCTGGGGGGGGGCATGTAGTCATAGAAAGAATGGTTATTACCTATTTTCATCCTTTTTTAGAATATCGGATTTTTAACATCTTTTAAAAAGTTTTTTGGCTAAGAAATGCAACACCTGATTCAGAAATCAAAATTAGAAAGGGTGGACAATGGGAAAACTCCCTCCCACTCTTTTCAGCCTGCCACCCAGTTTCTCTGTCTGGAGCCAAATCAGCATGGCCCAGAGTCTTGCATATCCTTCCAAAGGTAGTTTATGCACTTAAATCAAATTACCATACATACTTTCAATCCCCTATTTTTAAAAGTGTAAATAGCAGCCGGGCTCGGTGGCTCAGCCTGTAATCCCGTGCCTTTGGGAGGCTGAGGTGAGTTGATTGCCTGAGTCCGCGGGTTCGAGACCCGCCTGGGCAGCGAGACCTCATCTCTACAATAAATAAAAAAATCAGCTGGGTGTGATAGCGCATGCCTGTAATTCCGGCTACTTGGAAGGCAGAGGTGGAAGGATTGTCGGAGCCCAGCAGGTTGAGGCTGCGGTGACTGGGAGCAGCCACTGTACTGGGCGACTGAGTGAGACTCCAACTCAAAAAAAAAAAAAAAAAAAAGTATAAATAGTAAAATACTATATTATTGTTCGGCAACTTGCTTTTTTTTGCAACAAAATCTCTTGAGATCATTTCTGTGGTGCAGTAAAGAGCTTCCTGGTGTTTTGTTTTTGCTTTTTGCAGCTTTATAATATTGCACCTTGTGAATGTGCCTTAATTAATTCAACTAGCCCCCTATTGATGGATGTTAGATTGCACCCAGTCTTCTGCTATTGCGAACAACACTTGATTCACATGAAAGTATTTGTAGGATCAGTTCCTCCAAGTGGACTTGCTGGGTCCAAGGGATGTGTGCCCTCATCATTGTGACAGTCACTGCTCTCCAAGAAAGTTATCCCTTGGGCAGTGGTGGGCGGCAGGCATCCCACTCCTCTAACTGTTCCTTGACATGTTTCATTCAGCACTAAAATGAAGCCAGAAGAGACATACAGAGATCAGGTCCTGCTTCTCATTTTAATTATTTTACAGCTCTCTGCTTTCAGGATGAATGACTAGACCACACAGCTTTACCTAGAATCAGTCCAGTGAGACTGGCAGCCCTCTCAGGCCATTCTTATGGTGGGAGGAGCTGTAACTTACATTGATATGGGCCCCTCCTTGGCTTACTGTAGCCCATTTGAGGGAAAGGCCATACTTCTTTTAAGCTGACCTGCTTCTTTTCTCTTCTGGAGATGAGGGAGGTTGGACAGGGATCTTTGGGCTCCTGTCTGGGACTCACATTTGTAGATTCTTTGATTAAGTGATTAGGCCGTTTAACATTTTCTGTTACCAGTGGAGTCATGTTGAGCTGATCTACCATTGGAGGATGCTGAGTCCCTGCCATGCTTGTTGCTGGCAGAAATGATGGGATGGAAAATGTTTGTATCTCTTCATCAGTGCCTATGTCTTGCTGGGTGAGTGGTGAGAAGGACTGCTCAAGGTCTTTTGCTCTTAGACAAAAATGAATTCTTAAGTTCTGATATTGCATTCTTAGGTTCTCAGATTTCAGTGGCTTTACATGGCCTCAAAGGTAGCCATTGCCAAGTGACATAGGATCGTAACGGAAAACAAGTGTAAAAGTCATGACTCCGGCCTCATCTCTTCTCCAGCTGCATTGTAAGAATCAGTATGAACTCTGTTAAT